CCCCGGATGGGGGGGGGGGGGGAGTGCAGGCTTACCTGAGCAGTCTTCCAGCAACTTGTTTCTGAGATGGGGCCTGTCTATCTGAGGCTGTCATCCGCCCACACTTGCTCCTCCTTACTTTTTCTCCTCACGTCCCTGTGCCGATCGTGAATTTGGGCGGGCGATGAGCGTGAGGCAGGGAGGAGGTGCGGCGTGAGGATGCGGGCAGATCTGGCAGCGGCGAGCATGAGGTGGGGAGGATGTGTGGCGCGCAGCGTGTGTGGAGCCGTGAACAGGGCCAACCAATCGGAAGCCGATTAATCGATGATTGAAAAAGTTGACAACTTTTTCAATAATCGATTATGTTGATTAGTTGTTGCAGCCCTAGACATGAGATCTCCTCCAGCAGAATAATCTAAGATCTGTGTGATTCCTCCTAGATGGTCCTGCTGCCCTCGGGGGTGTTCACCATGGGTACGGATGACCCCGGTATCCTTGCGGACGGGGAGAGCCCGGCTCGGCTGGTTCACATTGATTCTTTTTACATGGATGTGTATGAAGTCAGCAATACCGAATTTGCGCGGTTTGTGGAGGCCAGCGGTCACGTGACCGAGGTGAGCGCTGAAACCATCATCTCATTTCCCAGCCGGCTGTCACCATCACCATAGATGTTCGGCCTTCGTAGGCGGTGTATTGGTGACCCGAAGGGTGTTCTTCTTTCTTTCTGACAAATATATTTATGAATAAATGTAATCCTGAGATGCTTGGTGGGGCCGGTGTCTGGTGGCCGGGGCCCTCTTCTGGAGAGGGGGACCCTTGTCTGTGGCCCGGTGCAGAGAGGTGACTCTTGTGATCTTATATTATTTCCAGGCAGAGACCTTTGGGGACTCGTTTGTTTTTGAAGGCTTCCTGAGCGAGGAAGTGAAGAGCGGAATTGATCAGGCGGTGAGTGAAATGCAGGTCTGGTCTGGAATGATGGGTGACTACGGCTGTTATCATATGCAGGTTCAGGGGCACTGGGGGAGCACTCCGTCCTCTAGAATAAAATGAGAGAAAGTGAAAGCAGAACTGACGTTGTCCCCCTACGTGGACCAATCAGAACGCTTCACTTTGTACAGAGAATGAAACAGAATACCAGATTGCTAGTTTTTATGAATCTTGCCATCCATCTCTCTCCTTAATTCTGTGTGTACCTACCCTTCCCTCGCTCCTTCCCTCCCCTTCCCTCGCTCCTTCCCATGGGTCGGGGGTGATAACCTTTACCAGAGTGGCCATACACGGCTCAAAATGTGAGCTGTGGATGGTCCTATGGGCGCCCCCGGCTCTACCAAAGTTGACCTTTCAATATTTTTGTCAAAAGGAGCAGTCCTTCCCATGTGTGAGGCTGGAGACACATATGTGTATATTATCCTCCATCTGTGTCATCCGCAGACTCGTCTGTAAATGCAGATGGATGACCGAGAATTACACACGTGTGCCGCCCGATCCGTGTATAGAGGTCCATTAATGATACAACATGTAATCGCTGCAGAGTCCGACCTTCGTCCTCCCCTTCAGTCTTCTCTCTGACCTCCGTCCTCCCCTTCAGTCTTCTCTCTGACCTCCGTCCTCCCCTTCAGTCTTCTATCTGACCTCCGTCCTCCCCTTCAGTCTTCTATCTGACCTCCGGCCTCCCCTCCATCTTCTATCAGAAAACAAAGTGATCGGCTCCTTGTGCTGCTTCTCCCTCTCACACTCCAGCCCTGCTGTAGGGGGCTACAAGAGGCTGGTTTCAGGTCCCGTGCATTACCACATATTGCACATTGACTGATGTATCAATGAATGCGTCTTTTTTTTCTATCTGCCCGGAGTTCCCCTTTAAGATAAACATCTCTGCCGGTCTTTAGTTCCAGTCTGCTGCTTCTGAGCTGGACGTGA